TCAGCAACTAGTCGACGTCAAGCTTAATGCATAGTCGCAGAGCAGTAAAGTCCCCTCGAGTTTACTCAGTTCTGCATTTTCCAAGGCCAAGAAGAAGTATCTTCAACTTTCACTTGATTTTATCGTATTTAAAACATCACACGTTTAAGCTAAAACAATTTTTACTCGAATGGAACATAACTTGACAAAGCTAAATGATTAGTATTTAAGGTGGGGAAACACTAAGTCACGCTAGTTTTTATGTCTGCTGGTGACTGAGGTCTGAAATAAGTGAAAACAAATACTGGGATAATGTAGCTTTGGGAGAATGTGGTTTTTAAATAAGGAAAAGGCTTTGCTTTCTGTGTGAGATTAGGTCCGGCTGAGTCAACCAGGTGGACTTTACAACCTCAGTAGGAAAAAAAAAGTCCATTAGTGACTGGAGGAGAACAAGACATCAACACTCCAGAACAACTTGACCCTGAGGTGAAGTAAATAAGCCCACAACGCTGAGCGGCTCCTTAAGTTGTTTGTATTTTATTAAGAAAAGATCACAAATAAAGATGATTTAAATCCCTCGGAAGCCGCAAAATAATTCAATTGCATGTAGAAGCACTCTGTTGCTCGATCTTGACACAATGGAAAAGGGTTTTAAATGTTTAGTGTAGTGATGGTGGTGGATTAGACTGCAAGTGAATGGCAGCTGTTTAAGTGAAGATGAAGACAGCGGTGCAGAGAGTTGAGCTCAGACAATACTGAATACAAGGCGAAAGGAAGTGTGGTGAATGCAGGTGTAGCTGTTATGGTGTTTTCCGTGTTTACATTTATATGTAGCATTCGTGAAATGTGTTTTCTCAAGAAAAACACATTTCACATTTACACTCCACCACACACTTCCACCCACTGTTGCCATGACGAAATCCATCTGTGATAGATCCTGCTACGCATATGCTCTTTCTGCTGAATCAAAAAAAGTCATCATCAATGGAGCTCAGAAACTGTGATTGACCAGGTCAAAGGGGAAATGAAGAGCAGAGCTTCCATTTAATCCAGTGGAGCTGGAAAGATTAATATGTGTCTGGCCCAGTGCCGGCCTAATGACGTTGGTGTGTTGCAGCTGAAATAGCAACAAAATTTTGTCTTAAATTTTCAGATGTGTATTTTGTATTTTAAATTCTTGGACAACAGCAATCACAATAATGTATTATAATTCACCATGCAGTAAATTTAAAAACCAACTGAGGTGCTGCAGAGTGGTTAAGATAAAATGCAGCCTATAATCAAAAACTGTGTTTACATCTTATTATGAGCTTGAGCTGAGGATGAAGACAAAGTTTGCAACATCTCTTAGTTGAGACAAATTAAACCAGGGCCCATGACGCACAGAGAGATCTGTTTGTCCTTCATGGACACAGACACACACACCCACAAACATGCACAAACACACTCTCAATGCTATGTTCAAGGAAGGAAATACAACAAAACATAGAAATGTACCTCCACCTCATTCAGACACACTCAGCCATTTAGCCTAAAAGCATCATCACTGCAGGAGCAAAAAGCTTTTATTGCTCTATCATCTGACTGCACAGATGTGCTGTACTTAAAGTTTTTTTTTTTTTCATTTGCAACTCTTCGCTTTTGCTTTGTTTTTCCACTGGCCTTTCCCCTGTCAGAGGGAAAATCAGAAAGAAGTGAAGTTACCAGTCCCCTGCAGTCCGTTCTCCTATCTGTTAGTTGTCAGGTTGTGGGTGGCCGTGGCTCAGGAGAGAGGAGAGCAGGTCATTTACTAATCACAGCGTAAATGATTCAATCCCTGGCTCCTCTAAATCATATGAGGAAGTGTTCTTGGTCAAGACACTGGACCCAAAATGGACCCTGACTGCTTCATGAATGGACAATTGAGAAAAGCTATAATTAAACTGTGTGTGTGTGTGTGTGTGTGTGTGTG